ATAGAGTCCTTATGGCCCTTAAGAGTGGGTATTGAGGGTCTATTAGAGGGTAGTTGGGGGTCTAGGTCAGGTCAGATGTTGAATACTGTTGATGATATAGTCCTGCATTACCATAAGGGGCGGGAAGTAGGGTATCTTCCTTGTTATGGGTAATGCAGGACTTATATCATCACCCGCAGGGTTGGGTATAGGTAGCCTTTAACCTTTTGGGCTTCATATGGCCAGAACTTTAAGTGCTCCGATTGGTAGGCTTTTGGGCTGATGTTCCTTCCTTAGGGGCTGGGTAATTCGGTATCCTTTAACCTTTTGGGCCTTATTTAACCCTAGACCCTAACCCTAAACCCTACCAAAGCTCGAAAGGTTAACCTCCTGTTTGGGCTAGGGTACCCTCAGCCCCTGGGGTTCTACTGTAAAGGAGAATATCCCAGCACTCATGTTTGGGTTTAGGGTATAGGGTCTAGGGTTTAGGGTCGTTGGTTGTTTAGAGTTTAGGGTCTTTGGCTTTTTAGGGTTTAAGGTTTAGGGTTTAGGGTTTACTACTACACGGAAGTGCTGTCAGAGTTTATGCAGGGCTCCAGAGACCATAACCTACTATGCATGTAGCTGGGCTGTAGCTGCACGTGTTCGCACTCAGAGCCTCCGGGAGTAGGATAGTCTCTACAGAAGGAGTCTAATGTAGAGGCCTTGATATTTAGGATAGGGTTTTGGGGTTCCTTATCATAATTATCGTATAAATATACCCCAAACACTATTCTAATTATCAAGGCCCCCTACATTACTTAAGATTCGTTTCGTTGCTTGTAAATATACGCAGTACAATCACTGCTAGGCACGAGAGCTACTGGTATGGTGTTATGGGTTCAGGGGTCACTTGAATACTGCTAGCTGCGACATAAGCATTCGGAACTCCACCCATGAGCCTTCTCAAACCCTAAAGCCTCAGATGCATCCTTACTTTGTCTCTTATCTGGGCTTCCTCAGATCACAGCCCTAAACCCTGAACCCTAAAACACAACCCCTAAGCCCTAAACCCTGAAACCCCTAAGCCCAAAAACCCTAAACCCCTAAGCCCCAAACCCCTAAAACGCCTAAGCCCAAAACCCCTAAACCCCTAAACCCCTAAACCCCCTAAACCCCTAAACCCTTAAATCCTAAACCCCTAAACCCCTAAACCCTAAACCCTGAACCCAAAGGCTTCCTCAGATCTCACCGAGCATGGTTCTTATGTGGTACTCAGGGTGTTCGGCTTTGGCATCCTAGGAGGTCTTGCAGAATTTCGGGGACCCAGCAACCCGAAAGTTGCTGTGGATGGGTTTAGGGTTTAGGGTTTAGGGTTTAGGGTTTAGGGTTTAGGGGTTTGGGGGGTTTAGGGGTTTAGGGGTTAAGGGGTTTGGGGGTTTGGGGGGTTTAGGGGTTTAGGGTTTATAGGGTTTAGGGTTGAGGTTCAGGGATGAATATTCCCTAACCCTGAGGCTCTAAGGGCTCATATTTTATGGGTTTTGGGCCCAAGCCCTACTGTTTAAGGCTTTTGGGCTGTGTTGAGGCTGAGGTTGAGGGCCCATGTGCCCATATAGTATATACTTGGGCCTTCGTGTAGTACCTATGTAGGTAAGGGCCAAAGAGTATATGAACCTTGCGGAATTGTTGCTATAGCTATGACCACTGTTGGAACCCTTCATCCAAAACTGCTAAAGGGATGGCCAAGCTTGACAGTCGTCGGAGGCTGCAGGTTCTTCAAGCAAATCATCCTTCATCCAAAACTGGGCGACCGAACCCCTGAGAAAAATTCCCTAGGTGTCTAAAGGACCCAATGATTAGGTTTTCTGGGGGTTCCTTTAATGGATCTAGAAGGAATCGATGGGATTTCGTGCGGGTTTATGGGGGTGTTGAGGGGTCCAAAGGACCCAATAATTAGGTATGCTGGTTTTTGATAGTAGGGTTTAGGGTTTAGGGATCAGGGTTACGATTATGGAGAGTATATCAGTATATGATTCGTTTAGGGTTTATGGTTTTAGGGTTTAAGGGTTTAGATTTTAAGGGTTGAGGGTTTAGTGTTTAGGGTTTGAGGGTTTGAGGGTTTAGGGTCTAGGGTTTGAGGGTTTAGGGTTTATGGCTTAGCACTTGGACCCCTAATGGGTGGGGTCAGGAAAGGACACCCTAAGTGGTAAAAGGCACTGGAGCTTCTGCGGCAGCTGGAAGAAGACTCCATAGAAGGCTGGGTCGATGACTGTCTGGTGCTTAGTACGCCCTAAACCCTAAACCCTAAACCGTATGGGTCATAGGGAGTACTATAAGGGACCTTAAGGGACCATCTTTGGGATCCATAGAAGCCTGGGTCGATGAGCCCACTACGGTCGATGATATAAATCCTTAGGTTTGGGGTTCCTTTTAAGGGTTCCTTAGAGGGTTCTATAAGGGCTACTATAAAGGTTTAGGTTTCTAGGTACGGTTCCTTTTAAGGGTTCCTTAAAGGGTTCTATAAGGGCTACTATAAGGGTTTAGGTTTCTAGGTACGGTTCCTTTTAAGGGTTCTTTAAAAGGTTCTATGAGGGCTACTATCAGGGTTTAGGGTTTAGTAAAGGGGCCTTGATGATATAAATCCTGCATTAAGTACCCATAGCGAGGAAATATACCATAATTCCCATAACCCTAAGCCCTAAACCCTAAGCCATAGTTTAGGGTCCTTATAAGGTAATGCAGGATTTATATCATCAGCAATACCATGCTGGAGGGGTAGAGGACTTTTCTGGGGAGGATCAGGGTGAGATGTTTGTCGTTTTGGGGTTTCGTGGGATTTCAGGTCTGGTGGTGTGGCTTAGGCAGTTTTTTTCAAGGGTCCCAGCATCTCACGGAATCACCCTTCTCAACATAGACATCCCGAACAGAAGTGTCATCTTTTCTCCACATCAGGCACTTGGGCTAAGCTCCAAGATAGCATTATGGTTTTATCCGTACCTAAGCCGTAAACCTGAAACTCTGAGCCCTAAATCTATACCCTTAAACCCTGAAACCTTAAACCCAAAGCCCTAAACTAAACCCTAAACTTTCACAGTACCGTACTCACCCAGCCTAGTTCAGATTACGTAGCCATGAAACCTGATAACGGTTGAGATAAAGCAATATATAACCCCAAGGGTTAACCTTTAGTTCCTCTGAAATACTGGATTGTTCGCAGAAGGAAGCTGGAGCTGAGGATGAAGACAGAAGATTCGTGCATTGGCGAGTGCTACGTGTTATCCATTATATTTGGTAATCACGATCAAAAGCCTGATATTGTTTGTCATTAAATATTGCTTGTGTTCTACTATGTTTCGGCTGTCACAAACATCATCATCATAATTAATCGTATTATATATCTATGTTTCGGTTATCACGATCATCATCACAATTAGTATTATTCGTGCAGCAGCAGCAGCAGCAGCAACAACAACAACAACAACAAGAACAATAACAACGAAAACAGCAACAACAAGAGCGACCACAAGAGCAACAACAACACCAACAACCACAGCAACAACAACAACAACAACAACAACTAGTACTACTACTACTACTACTACTACTACTACCACTGTATTTTTATCCAGCTCACGGGCTGGAGGCTCGTGTCTGCACTGGGACGCGTCTTACCCCATTACTGTTTGTTACGGCTT